TGTCAAATCCTATTTCTCTTTTATCTATTTTATATCTTTCCATCATTTAGTAGTAGACTAGCCAGTAGCTCTTTGATTTGAGCTCTGCAATTTCTTCCATGGTTTTCATCACATATTCTTGATGTTCATTTTTTTTTAAACAAGTTCCGATATCTGAGCAATCTCGACTGTATTTTTGTCCTTTCAAAGAGCGCCTCCTGAGCAGATAACCATCCTGGAATTTTAGAATAAAATATGGGTCTCACTTTTTCCCATACTGCTAATAGGGACTTTCGGATATAATGATGTTCAAAGTTTTTGTGTGTCTTCTTTTTATCATACCAGAGGTATGCATGCCATCCGTACCATAGGTTGAATCCTTCGAGATTTAATAGTTTCTGATTTTCCAGCGTTATCCAATCAGAGAGATATACTAAAGTGTTGGCTTGGTAATACAGCTAAAGGTCTGGCAGATTGCATCCTCTGTTTTGTCTTATATCTGTTAAAGTCTTCCATTTCACCCTTGGTTTTTTCTCCTCCCAAATAAATTTCTTAAACTTTTTGTTCCATTCATTAAAGGGCTTTTTATTTGTTATTATTGGTAATCCCTTATCCTTTCTGAAGGTCCCCACAGCTTGTAAAAGTATTTAGAAGTCCTATCCTTGTTTGAAACTTTTCTACACCAGCCTAGTCCCATTGCAAGCTGGGGGGGGGAGGGGGGAAGGAAGAGGCTGTTCTCTTCCATCCTCCAGGGCATGCAAATAGTTATAGCTCTATCCTTTAGTCTTCTTGTTTTCTCTGAAATCTCATGGGGAAGTAAGCCCCAGATTTTCTGTTCCTGAACTGGACCAGACCCCACAGATGTCCTGGAATGCTGTTCCTGCCACCAAGCAACCACGTGTCCCAACCCAAGGTCCTCCAAGCTGTCCTCCACCCACCTCAGACAAACTTTGTTTATGCACCCCAAACAGCATAAGCACTCCATCCTGCTGCCGGCATGTCTAGACGCCAACCCTGACATCCACTCAGGACAGTGGTCTGAACTTCTTTCAAGCTTTCTGCAAACCTGCCCAAAATTGCTGCATGGGCTATGATGGACTTTTGCTTGCCAAAACACACCAACTGCTTGCTGACATTGGTTCACATTTGGACATTGCTTACTTTGGCTATTGTAGCCATACAGAACCACACTTTACGAAATTTAGAGGACTTCCAAACACCAAAGGACTTGATTTTGCCATTTCCATTACCATATTGCATTTTGGATGCTTTGAACTCTTGAATTTGCTTTACTGTCATTGATTATTGCTGATTATTGATTGCTCGAATTGCTTTATTGGTTGCTTTATTCAATTTATGTTAAAAGAATGGTATGAATGTGTTCCGGATGCATTATCATCCATTCCCTTCCCAATATCAGAGGCACTACTAACTGTGATACTTCCTGTAGAACTGCCTTTTCTCCTATTGACACCCCAGAATTCTTTCATAGCAAAGGTTAATTCGAAAAATATTCATCGCCACACAGAATGGGTCTGAACAATTTTTGAAGGGGG